CACTTATATGTGTTCATATGTCATTTCTACGTGTATCGTTTGTTTCACAGTCATCTCTAGTTGTCCTTGAGAAGCACCTTCTTAGCAACATAGTGGCCCTTTCAGAAGGCAGTCAGTGTCAACCACATTGCTGTGGGTTCAGAATCACAAATTGGCCAGATTGGGTAAGGACAGCAGATTTTCTATCTTGAAACCAAATCAGTGAGCCAGATAATTTTTTTTAATGACAATCTGGTAGCCGCATGGTCAGTGTTACAGATACCAGCTTTTTCTTCCAGATTTATTCAATCAAATGCATTTAAATTCCCCAGCTGCTGTGGTGGGATTTGAGTTCATATCTTTAGGCCATCAATCCAAGCCAACTGGATTACAAGCCCAGTAATATAACCACGATGCTACCATTCCCCATTTATTAGATTTATGCAAGAGTATGTACACCTGTTCAAAGCTAAACTGATTTTTGAAAAAAAAAAGTCTTGTTGGGAGAATGTGTTCCATTACGAACTGTAGACACATATAGATACAAGTAGGGCTGGCCACAACCCAAAATATAAACTTCTGCTTGTACATGGTCACCGCTCACATCAACTTTCTTCAACCAGATTTTACTTATTTTAAGACAGATTGCTTTCTCTTTGAGTCCGATATTAAAATAACCAGACATGTTTGTTTGGTGAAAAATACCAAAATACTTTGTTCCTATTCTGCAGCACATGGATATGCAAGGCGACCCTAACTTCAACAGGTTCCTTTCCTTAGACAGACTCCACCCATTAAAAGATCAATGCGGCAAAATTTTTGAGTGGAGCTAATCTCTTGTGGATAGACTATGAATGCACAAATCCCTCTCCGCCCCCACTCCTGCTGAAAATAGCATAGATCAAACCTTAACCCTGGAGTGACTAGTTACCTTTACAATGCATCCACAATATTTTCAAACCTTCCTGTAAACCACCGTGCAAACTCCCACAGATTCCTATAGTTTGCTCAGATAATACAAGCCAAGAGATTATTTTTGACAATACATGTTGAGTAATGCTTAGCAAACATGCACAATATTCTGAGATAGTAAGAACTGCCGATGCTGGGTCAGAGATAACACAGAGTGGAGCTGGAGGAACACATGCTCCTCTGATGCTGCCTGGCCTGCTGTGTTCCTCCAGCTCCACACTGTGTTATTATGCACTATATTCTTCTGCTTTATGTTTAGCAGAGGTTTTAAATCATTTAAGATGTGTGAAGCATGTCACATAGCATGCATTAGATTGGTCTACTAATCACAACTCTGGCAGCTCCAGCACTGCAATCTATTCCTTTTTCGTCTACCCTTAGTTTTGTATTTTTTAGTTTGTGGGTTATGTCCAATCCCTAACCAAAGAAGTGGGTGATTATCTTCCTCCAACTATATTGCCCTTGAATAGTCCAGAAAGGTGTTGTTGCTGAAGGAGTCTTGGGTAAGCCACTGTTACAATGCTCTTTGCTCCCTTTATGGAATAAATGTTGCAGTAATCCGAGCCCTCGATTTAGACATGATTCCTATACTGAAGGGAGATGTGAACGTGGAAGGATCATTAGGTTTGAGGGTAAATATTGGCCAGGACAGCAGAAGTAACCCCCTTGCCCTTTGACAAACCTGCTGTGCGATCTTTAGCAACCTTCTGAGAAGGCATACAGTCCCTGAGTTTCACTTCTCTCCAATGGGCAGCCCCTCTGATAGTGTTGCACTCACTCAGCTCTGCACTGTCAGCCCAGATGTTCTCTCGAAATGGGCTTGAACCCACAACCCACTGACTCCGAGTGAAGGGTGTCTGACACAAGAAATGGAAACATTCCCAGTGACTGGTCCTGACCAATATCCAGTGACAGCTGCTGGGAGCTATCAGTACATGCTGCCAGGAAGGGGCATGACTGGGCTTGGTGATGAGGTTTACATTCACTGTTTGGATAACACATTTGGACAGGTTTTTGCAGGATGCTGATGACTATAGAAACACACCACAGCAAGAAAGAGTGGAAGTAACAAATTAAAACTGGACAGTAAAACAAATTGATACAGTTGTGAGCTACTGATACTGAGAGACAGTGCAAGGGATCGATTTCCCGGAAGAAGCAATGAATGGGACGGATGAGAAATCGAGGACAATACATGCATAATTTTTTTATGTGTCTTTGGTGTATTGTGGGCTTGCAAAGCTTTTAACTCTCAATCTTCTGACAAGTAGGAATGGTTCAAGTTGACTGTCACATTCAGAAAGCTAAAGAAGGTGGCCTCACAAACCCTGCCTGCATCTCCCCTGACACACCACAGTGAAACTCCCTTCGCATGTGTCAGTTTGGGGGGATTTGACAGAAGAGCTTCTTCGAACCACTGTTCAGTTTGCGTTTGGAACAAACTAACAACTTCTCAGCCTTGGTTTAACCATGGTTTCTGGGTGTTGTGGAATGGGGAACACTTGTCCTGTGATGGACAGGATATCATGTTTCTGTGATACAAGCCAGAGAGACGTCTAGTAGGTCATTTATCACCTGATATTTTTCACTTGGAACAGCAAACAAAAATATATTGGCATGATGTGTAACAATTGGGTTGAAGCTGCCCTGAACGCATTTCTTGGCTATTTTTCTAACCAAAAAGTGAAAAGTACAGTGTTAAAGGATCCTGCAACTGGACAGAATGAGCTACCTTCAGAAGTATCTCCATGAACCAGGCTTAGTCTTCCATCCAACTTGTTTGGGATGGAACAGTTCAACTGGTAAAACGAACAGAAACACACTGGTGCCAAAGTCTGGGTTTACAAAGTGCTCTGTGACGGCTTCCTGAAAATGGGAAATCCCTTCACAGCACGTGGGAGGGAAGGAAGGAAGTGCAAATAGATTGCAGTTCGCGATCTGAATAAAGGTGTCAGGTTGGGGTGTGGGGTGGGGGAAGCAAGGAGAAGTTTCAATATGTTTCAGTGATACCTTCTTCCAATGTTGACTAAATAATTTAATGATGTTGTTGTTGTCAAGAGGACCCGTTTATCCTTTGAGACATTGTTGTCACGGTGCCAAGTGTTTCGGTGAGGATGGAGCACAGCATTCTCTATATTTAGTTCCTATCAAAGTTGAAACATTGTGCTATATTTAAGGAGCTGGGTCTTGCTAATGCACAGTGCCACAATGTTGACTATTTATGAACAAAACAGCAGGAATAAATGTTATGGTCAGAGGCGTCCTTCATACTTTGCAAAACACATTCTTTCCATTCGGGTTCACATTTTCCTGCACCCTGCACAAATAATACAGTATCAATCTTATCACTCATTTGCAACAACAGCGCCTTGAGCTTGGATAGTCTCTGAGATACACAATACACTGGTTAGAGAAGTGGTGCTGAATTCAGATGGAAGGTATGGGTCTGCGTGGGTGCAAAGGGTGTGGATTCTGCCAACGTCTGGGTGACTGACATCTCGAGCATTCTCACACAAGGTCTACACCGAGGTGATCAATAATAAAACACAGGAAGATGGAGAGAAAAATGAAGTAGCCTAATGTGACCACTGACAGAGGCTCGATTAAATAAAGCCTCCTTTCCAATAAGCATTACAAGTGCGCTGACACCAGCTGGATTAGGAAAGTGGCTTCCCGCTGCCCTTACATGAGTGATTAGAGATGGCCAAGAAACGCTGGCCTTGCGAAGCAATATTCACATCCCATGAGTTTCTGGCCAGGAGAGTCAGGGTTTATGGGAAATGGAACTTCCAATATTGACAACATCACAAAGCTCATGGCAACAATAACTGAAATTCTTCAATCCTTTGCAAGATCTGCTGCAGTGCAGTAATATTGAAACCCCAAAATACGACACCACATGGTGAGTCCCAACTTACCACCCTGATGAATTCTTGACAGCAGCTTGGTGAACAGGGCTAGCCTTAAACACCCATCACAGTACACTGGGTGGAAAAGGAGCAGGAGAACCTGCCTTGACCTCCCGGGCAGTGGGTGGCTGAGGCCTGTAACTCCAACAGCGTCTCCCTCTGCTGCTGGGAAGCACAAGGGCACAAGTAATGTTTGCAGTGCCATTGCTTCCCAAGTCACATGTCATTCTGACATTGACATTTTATCATTACTGTGCCATCGTTGTTGGGTCAATGCCCTGTAGTTCCCTGACTGGTGCCACTGAGGGAGTGCCGTCACCACCAGGATAGCAGTGACTCAAGCAACCAGCCCACCAGCACTTTCTTGTGATGGGCAGCCTTACCAGGGTCACCCATGTCCCGATTGCCATTAAAACAAGATCAGGCACTAGCCTAGATAACACGGGGTAGAGCTGGATGAACACAGCAGGCCAAACAGCATCAGAGACCCGAAATGTCAGCTTTCCTGCTCCTCTGATGCTGCTTGGCCTGCTGTGTTCATCCAGCTCCACACTGTGTTATCTCAGATTCTCCAGCATCGGCAGTTCCTACTATCTCAGGCACTAGCCTGCCTTCTTGGCTGAGCACTGCGCATGATTTGAGGAAATCTGAAGGAAGAGGGGAAAAAAACACGATCCACAACTTCAGAGAGTACACCCAGTGTTATATGTATCTTAATAACAGCTCTTTTATATCACTGTGCTTTTCAAACATACATAAAAACTGTAATCAAGTTATGCAGAAGAGCGTGAAAGAAGCAATAAAGTGTAGCTTCAAAGCTGGATTGCGGGCTTTTAACCAAAGGTAGTAAAAATCACTGAAGGCATTTTTAAATGCTTAAATGTGGACAATGTTTAGACTTCTTTTTTAATTAGTCTAAAATGGTATCAATAGAGGCTGACAACACAGTATCTCTGAATCCTCCCCCACAGCCTTGTACAGGACATCTTTCTCAATCTGGCTTTCCTCTGCATGCCACACACAGACACAAAAATAGACACAAACACACACACCAACAACACAGACACCACCCCATTTTTTACTTTTTGCAAACATTTCCACAGCAGCTTTAAACTTTTCTTAAACCATATTTGCACGTACCATTGATGCACTCGAACAGATCACAGCATCTCCCTGGCAGGCCATCCCCAGGTGAAATGATACGTGGCACCGTGCCAGCCTCACACTTAGGGACACGGCAGATTCCCAGCAAACACTCACACCTAGAACACAAATGAGACACAATAAAATGAGTGATCTGACAGCGAGACCTGCGGGTGCCCAAGAGGAGAACAAAACCACAAGTGCTGGGTCCATTCAGTGCTTATATTTTAACAGAGCAGGCAACTCTAGCCTGAAGCTGCCTTACTATCCAGCAATCCAGCACACTGTTGCTCTGTGTGTGTGTGCGCGTGTGTGTGTGTGTGTGTGTGTGTTTGTGTGGTGAGTGTGTGTGTGCGTGTATGTATGTATGTGTCTGTGTGGTGAGTGCATGTCTGTGTGTGTGTGTGTGTGTGGTGAGTGTGTGTGTGCGTGTATGTATGTATGTGTCTGTGTGGTGAGTGCATGCCTGTCTGTGTGTGTATATATGCGTGTGTGTCTGTGAATGTGTGTATGTCTGTGTGGTAAGTGTATGTCTGTCTGTGTGTGTATATGTGTATGAAGGTCTGTGTATGTGTGTGTCTGTGTGGTAAGTGTATGTCTGTCTGTGTGTGTGTGTATATGTGTGTGTGTCTGTGTATGTGTGCATCTGTGTGATGAGTGTATGTCCGTCTGTACGTGTGTATTTGTGGTGTGTATCTGTGTATGTGTGCATCTATGTGGTGAGTGTATGTCTGTCTGTGTGTGTGTATATGTGCAGTATGTCTGTGTCTGTATGTCTGTGTGTGTGTATATGCGTGTGAGTATCTGTGTGCATGTGTGTGAATGTCTGTCTGTGTATGTGTATATACGCATGTGTATCTATGTCTGTATGTGTGTGTCTATCTGTATGTCAGCATCCAGCATTGTCCCCTTTAATCTAATGGTTTATTCCAGGGGGCAGTGGGTTAGGCATTAGCTTCGTTATCTGCCATTTGGATTCGTTCTAGCACAGAATGATTGAAAAGGAAACAACCCGCCCCTCTGCCTTTTTCTGGCTGCAAAGGTTCTGGTAAAGGTTCTATGTGATATAGATATAAGCCACTTCAGTCCAGCTGCGAAAGCACGTGGAACCACAGCTCCGAAATGCTCCTCACAGACATGGATATCACAATGAGGGGGATGGGTGATGAGGATAACAGGAAATTATCAGAAATGGTGGAGCAGGAGGTGTAGTTGCTATTGAATCCTTTCGTGGGCAATGTTGAGACGTACTGCTTATACTGTGTTGGAGCTGAGCCCTGAATGTATCTGAGAAAAACAATGGTTAAATGCCTTGGCAGGGCGTGCTGAGGCTATGTGTTATCAGCCCAGCTGAGACTCAGGGATTCATCAAGTTACATTGGATCCACAAAACAGAAACTTGTCAGCCAATTAATTCATGTCAGTATTTATTCTTAGAACAGATTCCTCCTACCCTTCTTCAAATACAATGGCATGTAGGTCCACCTACAGCATGTGGAATCCAGCAGTTCAAAGAAACAGCTCACCACCACCTTCTTAAGGACACCTAGGGATGGAAAATAAATGCTGGCCCAGACAATGGCATATACATCCCACGAGTGAATAAAACTAACCCTATCATTGTTAACGTTTCAAGTCCAATAACCCTGCTCTGAAGAGGGTCAACGGACCTGAAACGTTAACCCTGCTTTCTCTCCACAGATGCTGCCAGACCTGCTGAGTTTCTCCAGCAATTTCTGTTTTTGTTTCAGATCTCCTGCACCTGAAGTTCTTTGTTTCATGTTAGTGTTTAATCAGCATCTCCTTCTATTCCTTTGTCTCAGGAGTCTACTTCATTTCCAATTAAATGATTTAACCTTTAACCACTGCTTGTGGTGAGGCATTCTACATTCTGACCACTCTCAGGGTGAAGAGGTCTTCCTGAATTCTTTATTGGATTTCTGAGTTGTTTTCCTATAGTTATGACCTCTAGTATTGGATCTACCCATAAGTGGAAATATGATCTCCCCATCTACACTATCCAGCCCTTAAATTAATAAAGTCACTGCAGTCCTATCAGATGATAGGGCTCCCCTCTCATTAGAGAGGGAGATGACTGGTGGTGCTTTAACCTGACGGTCACCTCACCTCAGATGAGGTTGAGAAAGACCTTGATAAGGTAATCCCTCTTTTCTAGCTCTCAGTGATTCAGTCTAGGACTAGCTCCTGCCCAATGTGTAAAATCACCATTTAACTTGTAGTAACGAGAGCTAAAACCTCCACACATGGAGCGAATGAATAGGACGTGTTTGACTTGCCCCACCCCAGGGGGGGCGATGGAACCCCTCCTCACCATCGTCAGAGTTAACGAGGACACTTACCGTGTCGGGAGAGTGCAGCAGCCATCAGCAGTTAGTCGGGTCGGGGTCTCATAGCTGTCGGGTGGGCAGACGACGGGCTGAATGGCGGGGCAGTCCACTGTGCTGCAGTCCACGTTATACACTGAAAGAGGCAAAAGAAACCATCAATGTCGAACACTCACCGGTCGCAGCCGTTGAGATGAGCAGGAGGAATGAACCAGTGTAGACGGTTGGGCCACTTCATGCTGTCAGAGCACACTGTTACCTCTAGGCATTACCACTTTCTCCAATGGAGCTTTGTGAGAACAGGATGAAAACTGAACACCATACAGTGACTGCTAGATGCTCACACATTCACAGCGTAATCTTCCAAACTCCCACAGCCCATGGGAATACAGCGTGTTCAAAATCAGGAGAAGTCTGGGCAGAGTAAATATGGGGAATGTATTCTAGTTAGTGGAATGTTTCAGAGGATATTCATTTAAGGTGATTGGTAAAAGAAGTAATGGCGAGAGAAACAGAATCTTTTTCATGTAGCAAGTGGTCAGGATCTGGGATGTAGTATCCGAACGTGAGGCATGCACAGATTCAACTGAGGCTTTGGATTATTATTGAGGAGAAAAAGTTACAGAGCCACAAGTGAGTTGGACAGTACAGACATGATGGGCTCAGTGGCCTTTTTCTGTCGTGTAACTATTCTATCCTTCCAGGAACAGGCACTGTGGTTACAAAAATTGGACAAAATTCTCCCTGGCACGAGTACAGTGAGTTAGTTCTTTAGATTTTTTTCTGGTGCCCTCACCTCTTGTTTCCCATAAAGTTAGCTCTGAACGGAAGCATTTTTTTTACATTGAGTCAAATGATTAGTGAAATTTAAAGCTTTTGATTGGGTAGTGCGGGGATAGTGTGGGGATAGGCTTTTGTGTGTGTGTGTGTGTGTGTGTGTGTGTGTGTGTGTGTGTGTGTGTGTGTGTGTGTGTGTGTGTGTGCGCGCGCGTTGTATGTGTGAGAGAGGAGACAGATAGTGAGTGTATGTGAGTGAGTGACTGAGTGTGTGTGAGACAGAGAGAGCAACACTGAGTGTGTGAGTGATATGTGTACAAGAGATAAAGGTAATTTGAGTGTGTGTTTTGAGTGTGAGTGCACGTGTGAGAAAGAGAACAATACTGAGTCTGTGTTTGAGTAAATGTGTGTGTGTGTGAAAGAGAGAGATACTGAGTGTGTGAGTGAGTGTATATGTGTGAGAGAGAGAGAGATAACGTGGGACTGTGTGTTTGTGAGTGAGAAGGAGAGCAATATTGAGCATGTGTGTGTGTGAGAATGAGTACGTGCGAGAGAGTGTGTATGTGAATATGTGTGTGTGTGTACATAGAGAGGATCAGGGAAAGCAACTGTCAGTTTCTGTAAGCTGATCGGGCTCAATTCTCTGTGAATACATAAAGAGTGGCAATCGTGTGACGCGATATTAGTAACAAATGTGCTCATGGTTTCATTTAAAATTCCTCTGTCTGCTTTTTAAAAGGCAATCCAACCTGTGGATATCACATGAACACGCTAACAGTTTTATTACTAACATTGCAAAATAGAGTTTCAGTCCAAGTCTAGTATAACAACAGCAGGCATGGCATCTTCAAAAATGAGAAACATCGCCAGCTCCTTGCCTGAGATGCATAATCAGCATGACATTGACACAAATTAGGAGTGAAAATAGGCCATTCAGCCCATCGACACTGTTCCACCATTCAATAAGATTGCAGCTGATTGGTTTGTGTTTCATATTCCACATTCCCATCACTCCCCTGATCCTCTTTAACGGGGGAGTTATAATGGGAGGTGGTGGGGGCAGGGGGACTAACATAGTTGTAGGATGATATAAAAGAGGGCAGGGATGGAAGGATTACGGAGGGCATTATAGAGTGCAGAGCCCAGATATCTGAAGGCATGGCTGCTAAAGGAACAAGCAATGCATGAGGAGACATTGTTGGAAGATACCGAGCTCTCGGAGGATTGTAGGGCGGGAGGTTATAGGGAGGAGTGAGACCATGAGTGGATTTAAACTAAAGGATTTTAAGTGGGAAGAACTGGGAGCCAAAGGAGGTCAGGAATTGGTGTCAGTAAAGATCGCAAGGCTTTGGTCGAACTGAACTTTGTTAGGAAGATGCAACTTTGTCCAGGCCAACATTGGAGTCATCCTGAGGGGACAATCATCTGGATAAGCTGAGGCAAGACAGGGACAGGATAGCTGGTAGAGGATAAATAGATGGCTTTGCATGGTGGACATCACATGGGATTGGAAGCTCAGTTTAGGCTCAAAAAGGATTCAGAGGTTGCAAACAGTCTGTTTCCACCCGAGATGGTGGCCAAGGAGTAGAATGGAAATCACTTGCTTGGAAATGGCTCGGTCTAGCCAGTAGGCTCCTCTAGGGCTGGATGGTACACGAGCTGTAACAGAGACAGTGGAGCTGATGGATGGGCAGAACTGAGTCTTCAACATCCTTGTCAAAGCTGACCCAGTGTCTTTGGTGATGTCCCCAAGAAGCAGCATGTTGATGAGGAAAAGGAGGGAGGTCAAGAATGCCCTCTAGGCAATCATGTTCATTCTCGCACAGTGGTTTGTCAAAAAGATATGAGGTCTGACTCAAGGTCGGCGGTACGGTGGCTCAGTGGTTAGCACTGCTGCCTCACAGTTCGCGTCCAGCCTCGGGTGACTGTCTGTGTGGAGTTTGCACATTCTCCCCGTGTCTGTGTGGGTTTCCTCCGGGTGCTCCGGTTTCCTTCCACAGTCCAAAGACGTGCAGGTTAAGTGGACTGGCCATGCTAAATTGCCCATAGTGTTCAGGGATGTGTAGATTGGGTGGGTTATAGGGGGATGGGTCTAGTTGGGATTCTCTGATGGTCGGTGTGGACTTGTTGGGCCGAAGGGCCTGTTTCCACATTGTGGGAATTCGTCAAAAACAAAGACACATCTGAAGAATGTGCGTCAGCATGACGCAATGCTTTGGAACTCAGGGATAGACAAAAGTGGCAGCTGATTTGTGAAAACATGAGAAAGCAAGCCATAACCAGTTAAGCTTAAAGGAAATTAAGCCCTCAGGTCGGTCTGACATCCAATATCCTGTTGTGTGGGAAAACATTCCTCATGAAAATCCTGTCACATGACAACCTGTGTTAAACAGGAGAGACAGCGAAGGCTGTTTCCCTTGAAAATGCTGGAAAACAATCAGCAACAATGACAGCACAAGTTCCCCTGGACAATATGGTGTGACAGCAGAGAGTGACGAGATCACTGTGGTGTAATGGGGAGGATTTTGTGGGGATTGATTCATTTGTAAGTAAAGGGCCTAGATTTTGCCAACAAATTACAAAGACAAAACCAGTAAACTTCAGGTTTGTTCAGGATTACGATCTTGCATCGTTAGTTGCATGTCATTTTAATTGTTCAGCTCAATCCCTGCTGACCTCTCTGACCCTGGCCTCCAATACACGTCCATGCAAGCTCAGGGAACAACACTTCACTTTTCAATTAGACACTTTACAACCTTCTGGGCTCAACATTTGAGCTCAACAATTTCAAGCTGTGGAGTTTCCCCCTCCCCCCATATCGTTTTCTTTCACATTACACACCTTGGTTTCAACTTGTTACTGTCTTGTTTACTTTGTCTTTCAGATGGTTGCTGTGCACCAGTCTGTCATTCATTCCTCTTTGACAGCTCCATTTTGTTTCTTGATATTTATCGTTACCACTCCCATTTCCCATACCGCAACCCCTGATTCTTTTGTTGTTTGGCTTCCACTATCACACACTCTCACTTTCATTATTTTTCCCACCTTCCCGTTTTCATGCGTTTAAAAATGGCCAAATTTCCAAATTTTGAAGAAAGGTTAACGACTTGAAATGCTAAATCTGTCTCTTTCTCTCCCCCAGAATTACCTGCCATGTATTTTCAGCATGTTAGCCCATAGGACATTGGAGCAGAAAGGAGCCATTTAGCCCATCGAGTCTGCTCCACCAGTCAAAGAGATCATGATTGATCCAATGATCCTCAATTCCATTTGCCTGTCATTTCCCTATAACCCTTATTGATTAAAAATGCCTCAACCTTGAACATACTTAACAACACGATTTCAACAGCCCTTTGCCATAAAGAATTCCACAGATTTGCTAACCTGTGAGAGAAGAAATTCATCCTTATCTCTGCGGTAAATGGGTGCCCCTTATTCTGAGATTATAAGCAATGGTCCTACACTCTCCCACAAGGAGAAACAATCTTTCCGTATCTACCTTGTCAAGTCCCCTAAGAATGTTGGGTGTTTCAATAAGATAACCTCTCATTCTTTTGAACACTGATGAGAACAGGCTCAGTCTGCACAACCTCACCTCATAACACAGTCCCTCTATGGCTGGTACCTGCCCTGTGAATCTTCTCTGGATTGGCTTCAATGTCAGTATACCTTTCCATAGATAACGGCATTTTGATTTTATTTCAGGTTTCCAGCATCTGCAGTATCTCACTCTCACTTGCTTATTCTCTGTTCCTTCAGCAGAGACCAGATGCTCACAATAACACAGAACGGATGAATAAGGGGAAACCTGTTGTTAAAAAGGATAATTGTTTTGTGTTTCCTCAGGTGCAGGGGAGTTCCAAGACTGGCTGGCATCTGAAGAATTGTGAACAGTAAGTATAGCAGCACCTGTATATACTGTGGATCGAGACTCTCTGTTTTCCCAGATCGCTGATGACAGCTGAAATGAGTTGACAACAAAAATGCTACTGACATTCACAACGTCTGGTTCTTATCTCACTGGACAGGAGGGTGGATTCATTCAGAACTTAAAAGGGTTGTTGGGCTTGTTTGGGCCAACTGATCCTAAAAATACTTATGTTCTCATGGCAAATTAGTGCTATTTTTAATCGGGACCTGGCTATGGTGACGAAATGCAAGCAGTGAATGCTTGAGGTCAGTGGGAAGGGTTTTAAAGCAGAGAGAGAGACAGAGAGAGACAGACAGAGACAGAGAGAGAGAGAGAGAGAGAGAGAATGAGAGAGACGGATAGAGGGGCATGGAGAGAAAAAAAGGAGAAATAAATTAGTAATCACAGATTATACGACAGGATGAAATAAGAGACTTAGAGAAAGAACGAGCCAGCGGAATTAGGTAAATATGGCACACTGGACTTCTGTGGTGATTTCTATTCACAGAGATGTCAGACACATCAAGTTATTAATAAATTTGAAGTCTTAAAACATAATGATGATAAATTCCTACAAGGCTACTATTAATGTAGCCCTCGACTTTGCCTGTTTGGGACGGTCCCACCAATATTTCTTCTCTTGAGGGAAGTAAAGCTGGATTCTTCTAAGTACTTCTCTGCAACAGCACAACTTGCAGTGGGATCCCAGAAAAGCAGAAAGGGAGTAAAACTTGCATTCACTCAGTTTTCTCTCCCTTTTCCTCTGCCCTGCCTACATCCCCCTCTCCCCTGGCTCCTAGTGCCAGTCTCAGCTTCAGCCATTCTTTGTTTGCTGCCTCTCATTAAAATTTGAGTTCTGATTAGCACTGGCGTGAGTTGGAAATATAAAGTTTGATGGAATAAGTCAAGAGAAACCATTTGGAGAGTTCAGAATAAGGAATACATAACCTTACAAACAGGCTACTCAGGGATGATGCCAGGAAGCACTTCACTACAGAAAGGAAAGGCAAATCTGGAATCCCTTCTTCCATAAAGCTTTTAAAGCAAGAGCTCAACTGAAAATTTCAAAATTAATTTTGTTCTGTCAGGCAATGGTATTAAGGGATATGGAATAAAAAAAAACTTGAGATACAAAGCTATCACAGACTGGCTTAATGGACTGAATGGCCAACTCCTGTAGCACCTACGTATTTACCCATCCCATGGGACTGAGCACTGGTGAGTCACCATCGTTGCACTGCCTATTCAATGCAAAATCAGCAAAAGGAACATAAGGAACGTTTTCCTCATGATGTATTTGAGGATCTCAGTAGGCAGAAGATCTTTGATTACTTTGAGTGTCATGCCACACACCATGCTAACACCCAAAAATCTTTGCTGCTACTCCTGAATGCCCGCTGAACATTTGGTATGACATTAAGGTGAAGTAATGATCTAAGCTGACTTTGTCCCCTTTAGGGCAGGAAGGCTATGTAAACACACCTGAGGTCAATCAGATGTGAGCTGCCATTGGTGAGGGAGGTTTGTCGACTGGCATGGGCATGTGAATATCAGCTTCCAAGAAAGGGTGAACTGAAAAGCATTAAATGACTACAGTTCTCACCTTTCTTTTCCATTCTTTCAGAATTTTGAAATATCATCAATGTAATAGGTAAGATGCTTACACACTCAGGAATTTGGGATATTCCTGACTCTGGACAACTGTGTAAATGAGGCAATATTGCATTGGATGCCTTGTTTGCTTCTTTCGATTTTGATTTCAATTGAGCTCATTCAGTTGTTAGCCCACCTACACCATTGATAGAAGCTACTGTTTTGGTGAAAGAGATACAGAGAACAGAAGATAATTGCACTATAATGTGCAGATATAACTAAGTCCCCATTTTAAAGTCTATTTATCTATATGATAGATATTATATACAATCTATTTATATCCTGACAGAACACTTTGATCGAAGTCACAGCAATTTTGGAAGCCAAGAAGTAGCATTGGTGCCAACGAATGCTGAGTTGCTATAGCGCCATCACTTGTAGAAGGGTATATTGCAGGTTTACAGAGGCAGTCTATAATAGTGGAACAATATGAATTTACAAATTGATGTATGAAGTGAGTCTGTTAGATTTTTAATACATCCTGTACTTAAATATTATTAATATTTATAGAGACTCCGTTTTCTTCCTGCAAAACCAAACAACCAGTCTTTATCTTAATGCTTATTGAAATTGAAGTAATAATTCTTTTCCCAAACCTTTCTTGCATTCATACAGGTCACAGCATTCCCCTGGTTTTCCCGATGCTTTGGAAACGAGAATGCTCTGGTATCCGGGCTGACAGACCTTCCGCAGACAGCCAGCTGGGTTACACACACAACGGCTTGGGAGGGGGCAACACTCGCCGGGGGGAGCATAGCCTTCAATCAGGATGGAGTCTTCTGGGCAACGGGGAGAGAACTGGACCTCACACCTGGCTTTGGAGCAATCCGGCTTCTCTTCTGAAAAATGAAGAGTGAGGATACATGAGAGAAACAAATCACACTGGCCGACTGTTAGGCTGTGCATAACACAGGCACCTTGTTACCAGCTGCTCATTTATTGGGATGGTTTTTGCTGTCAGCTTTCCTGACCCTTCCCCACTCCCCTCCTGACCCATGGCAGATTCACAGCTCCACAGTGAGCTGCCACCCTCAGGTGCCTGGAATTAATCTGGAATTACGAATCTAATGTTGACCACAAGTCCATTGTCAATTGTTGAGAAAAACCCATCTGGTTCCTTTAGAGAAGGAAACTGCCATCCTTACTTGGTCAGGCCTACATGTGCCTCCAGACCCAGAGCAATGTGTTTGACTGTTAATAGCCCTCTGGGGAATTAGGAATGGGCAATAAATGCTGCCTTAGCCAGCAATGCCCTCATCCCTTGAAGGAATAAAAACAAACCTCACCCAGGTGATCAATGCCAACTGACAGTTCATCAGTGGATGAATGGGGAAGGTATCACTGCCAATCACCAATCCCCTCACCTCATCTCTACTATCCATAAACTGTTTATACGAATACCTCCCTTCCCTCCTCTCTTTCTTCCTCCTGCTGTTCTTCCTCTCTCCTTCTTTTCATTCCTCCTTCTTGTAAGAATTATGGTCATCAGAAACAGGAATCCTGGAGGATTATTTACACTGGGGCTAACCTCAGACCATGCAATACTGTCTCACTAGAGGCCAGCTGACTAGTGAAGTGGGGTGAAACCTACCCTGCACAGTTCATTGTCATTCTGACTGGGCCACTCGTACACTTACTGTCTGGGACATCAGTGATCACATCTTGAATTTTTCTTGGTAGTTTTTCTTTACTGCATTTCATTTCTTTCTAATTCAAAAAAATTCTGACATTCAAAGGTTGTCTGAGCATAATTGTTGGAATAGAAAGAGAGAGTGTGGAAACAGAATGAAGTAGAGAGAGAGAAAAAGAGAGAAAGAGGGACTAGTCACATGGTGTTGAAATGAGATAATGACTGAAACAATGCAATGATAATATTCAAATCTAGAACTTCTTCAGTGGCTTTGTATTAAATACACTGTGTATTGGGGATAACCCTCTGGGACAGGATGACCCCTGGTTTGATTTACAGTGCTTTATATATATTTTTTTTTGGGGAAGGGGGAATCTGAGCTGGAGAGACCAGTATGTGTTGCTAATATCTAACTGCCCTTGTGAAAGGGTGGGGTGGGGTTGTTGAACTACCTTCTTTGACCGCTCCACCTGCTGCATGCACCCTCACTGTTAGGAAGGAAGGGATTTCCAAGATATTGTTCCAGCAACAATGAAGGAATAGTGATATATTTCCAAGTCAGCATGACGTGTGGTTCGGAGAGGAGGTTGCTCATAGAGCAGCAATATGCCTGCTGCCCTGGTCCTTCTAGGTGGTTAACACTGCGGGCCTGCAAAATGCTGTCAACAGAGCCTTCCTGAGTTGCTGCAGTGCACCTTGTAAATGGTGCACGCTTCTGTTTATGGTGGCGGGACTGAATGTTGAAGGTGGTGGATGGGGTGCCAATCAAGTGCGTTGCTTATTTCTAGATGGTGTTGAGTGCTGGTGGAGCTGGCGTCGAAAGTATTCCATCACACTTGTAGATGGTGGGCAGCATTGGAGAGATTGGGGGGGGGGGGGGGGGGGGGGGGGAGCGCGGAGGGGGGGGGGGGGGTGGGGGGGGAGTTACATGCCACAGAATTCCCAGCTTTGGACCTCTGCTCTATCCACAGAATGGCTGGCCTGTTTAAATGGCTGGTCAGTGATAATCCCTGAGGATATAGAAGGTGGAGGATGGCAATGATTTTAAACATCAAAGAGAGACAATCAGATTCCCTCTTGCTGGGGACTGTCATTTGTGGCACTTTTGTGTTGGGAATGTCATTTTCTTCTGGTTGTTGTCCATCAGTCAAATTTGGGCTCAAGGAGGGGAAATACCACTTGTCTCATGCTTTTGATGACCTCTGATGAGTTATGCACGTGTGGGAACTTTGGGTGAAAACTGCATCAGGTTTGGGTGTTGTTCCTACTCTACCAGATGAATCGTTTCAGGATTCACGCATAATAAACCACCAGCTGAATGAGACGCCATAAGGCTACACCTAGCCAAGAGGCTGTATTCCATGAAAAGGAGAAATGATGGATGAAAACAGAGAGAAAGGAACTGGAAGGAAAAGAACATAAATAACAGCTGCATCTCTCCAAATGTGTGGCTTAGTAACTCAACAGCTACTTCCTGCAATAATTAGTAACTGCAGCATAAACAAAACACTTGTCAAGCAAGTTAAGACAGCTTAATTCTGAGCAACTGTTTTACTTTACTGATCCTGACACATGTTAACCAAGCCTGAGGTCTATTTAGGTTTCACTGAGCCTCCTGTGTGAACACAGACCTTCATGCTTCAACAATGATAAAACCGCAGCAATTTATATCGATCGAATCCCCTCAACAAAGGAGAACTTGCCCAGAACTGTACTTGAGGAGAAAGAAAAATGAGTTGATAGGGACTTCTTAGCCATGTTGGGAGAGCAAGAAGGGGGATGATCAATTGCAGGGCTAAAATAGATTTATATCAAGGTGTAAGGGAAGAGTGGCGGGCATAGCAGAGAAACATATGGAGGGAGGGAGTTAGGGGGCATGACTGTGTGAAAGGCAACAAAAATGAAGTTTGATGTTCGCTGACCAAAATGCAAGCAAAGCAGCTGGAATTCAACCAGGACTTGCCAAATAAAGTACAATTTGAAAATGACATTAACAAGCACCCAGGGTTAATTATATCTTAATTGGGTCTTTAATTATATTCAGGCAGTGGACATTAAATGGGGACTTACTCTGTGATTAAATATATGGGAGCAGGAATACATCTGAAATTAATGACCGTAAGAAATGGGAACAGGAGTAGGCTGTTCACCCCTTCGAGCCTGCTCTACCGTTCAAGTGGATCATGGCTGATCCAACATTCCTTACGTCCACTTTCCTGCTGTTTCCCTGTAACCCTTGGGGGTCAATGATCATAACAACTATCCTTGATTTTGGGGAAAAAGATGTATCTGGCACATCAGAAAAATCTGGGTTCTAGTCCTAAGACCTTTGGAGGTGTGCCATAACAGGATAACTTAAAGAAGAAAAAAGTACATATGGAAGCAGGCTGGAAGTGCGCAATAAATAATTTACATTTTTGTACATATAAGTGTATAAAGACTTGACCCCAGTTCTGTACATCATTACCTGGCTATCTGCATCGGAATAACCAGAGTCTTAGTGAGAAATTTGCAATAGGGTTAAAGGATAATGCACTTTGATAACTGTAGTCAGTGATGGTAATGGTTGAATAAATAACAGTACAAATCTAATGACAATAAAATGGTAAACAGTAAAAGAAAAAGACAAGAATTTAACTATTTCACTCATTTAAAAATGAAACAGAATGAATTCCATAGTGGTGATCCAGCAACGGTGTCAAGGCCACTAATCTACACCTTGATGCCTCTCACTGACTGCTCTCCAGAGAATGTGTGGAACACAGCCAGGAAAAACTCACATTACACAGGGTGGAAGGGGAACAGGATGGACTGGATTAATGGGATTTGTCTCTTAATACTAATCTTTGGAAAAAAAACCCTCACGCCCTCTCCAATGATTCACAGATCAAACAGACTTCACAACTGGAAGCTAACAGAATAGGAAGCTTTGTCCTATTCTTTCATGGGACATAGATGTTGTTGACAAGGCTAGCACTGGTAGCCCATCCCTAATTGCCCTTGAACTGGACAGTTTGCCATGGCCATTTCAGAGAGCAGCTAAGAGTCAAAGCAAATTACTGTGGATCTGGAGTCACATGTGGGCCAGACTGGCAAAGGGTGGCAGATTTCCTTCCACTTGTTGCTGATTTCACGATCACCACCCCTGCTGAGACTAGCTTTCAATTCCAGGCATTATGTATTGAACTTAAATAGCACCAGCTGCAGTTTCCTCCCATTTGCAGGTTTGTTTGCTGGTATGTGCTGATCACTGATGTAGCAGTGATAGGGTTGCCACAATATCACTAAGTGCTGCAAGCTTGTTGGACTGTGATACACAGATCATGAGTGGCCGTTGGGCGAGGACAAGATCAGGCCTGATTAGGCTGCCTACCTGGCCCCTCCACAGTGCTTGGACAGGTCGAGACAGGGCTCAGCCATGAAGAATGGCCTTGGGTACTGAAAGTGTTGGTGGCACTCGGAGCACAGATTTTCCACACTTTCAGGAGAGATGGGGAACAAGTGATGGTGAGAGGAAAGCATTACCACGGGCTGTGCAAAGAGGCAGTAAAATTGTACCCACAGACTTTGGATAATTGGGAAGAGCAGAAATCAGGAAAAAACTTTTTTTTTTAAATGCAGCAAGTTGTTATTCTCTGGAATGCTCTGCCTGAAAGTTTAGTGGAAGCAGGTTTGAAAATAACACTGAAAAGAGAATTGGATAAGTACTCAAAAAGTACAACAAAAATTACAGGGCTACAGGGAAAGAGCAGGGATAAGAGAAAATTTAAATAGTTCATTCAAAGTGCTAGTATAGGCACAATGGGCCAAATGGTTTCCACCTGAGCTGTATGGTTTTGCATAAAGCAGCGATAAAAAAGATGGGTCAAGCAGCTGGCTGTTATGGGGCAGTGGTAAAAAGGAAAATGGTAATTTTGCAGGAGGCTAAATCTTGTTAGCTCAGCTTTGGCAGAACAAGTCCACGGCTTAACAGCTACTGAAATTGCTGTTAAGGACTTGCCGTTACAGCTCTGTCTGCAGAATCTGAGGGCCCTATCATTAATGGTTTCTGCCTAAAGATCTGTGATCCCATCACAACCCATTTTCAGGGTTCAAAATGCTTCCTATGTACAAATTGCCAAGGGACCAGTCCGCAACTCAAAACTTCAGTCTGGTTCTGCTAAGTGTCTCAGGGCTCTGGATGTAGTCAATACCAAGCAACTTGTGACT